ACAGAATATAAATGCTTAGCCCTATTGGAAACGTATGGTAGAGGTATAGTATAGTCAACACAGTATAAGCCAAACAAAAACCAATAATAAATGGTAAGTCAAACACATAGAGAATGGGTTACAAAAATTAATAGTGAAACAGAATCGAGAAAAACAAACAAAAAATAAATAAAAATCAAAGAAAAGTCGAGAGAAACTAATGAGAGATTAAGTAAGATATGCTTATCCTTACCGATGAACATCCACACAGAGAACCGAATCCAAGTCATTGTCGAGAGTTTTAGCATTAGATAGAAGTTCACGAAAACGCTGACAAACGAGAGAATTATGAATATAGGGAACAAACAAAATGTTTTGAATAATAAACGACTTGTCTGTCAATAAACAGATCATTACCTCAAGAAGGGAACCCATGGAACGAGTGGTACCTATAATTATGTAAAACACAACATTTAAAATCAATTTTAAACAATAAAAACAAATTTTAGCACAAAAGCAATACCTGAAACGATATCCTTTTGGCCGAAGAGGGCTGTGATTGTAAGGCAACAATGGTTATGATTGTAATGACAAATATGACAGAACACACAACAATTGATGTGATGTCCGCCGCCGCCAACTTGTCCTCCAATGCGACAAACAGTGAGTCCAATACAATCAATAAAAGACCTAAAATGTCATCAAATCAAACGCAACAGAAAATAAAGAAAACATTTGCGTTAAAAATAGTCTTCAATTAACTAATGAGTTAATTAATGAGATGACTGCTGAAGGCTTACATATAATGATAACGAGAGCTATCGACACATTGGAAGAGAGGGGCGACGGTGTCGTCAGTTTCTCCAAATTAAAACATTGGCGCAAAACATCTCTATAACTGTAAACTCGATTATCGTTGGAATCGCTGGAACTGCCGACAAAGTGATTGGTGTTCATTGAGTTATCAGAAGCAGGAGAGGAGGGATAGGCATGCAATTCATCGCCTTTACATGTATATCTAAAACAATGGATTCAATTACTTATTAAAACGAATGCAAACAAAATAAAATATAATGAGAAATAGGAAACAATAAAAACAAAATAAAGTTTGTTCGGCGAAAACAAATGAATCGGTAATTGAGACAAAAAATAACAACAAAAGTAAAAGCAAACGGATTAAGAGACGGAGAAGAGCGCAAACAACTCACTCATTATCGACACTATCTTTAAGTGGAGTCACTTCGTGGGCGTCACCGTCGGTGTCAGACAAACCGATTTTGCTGGCAGTGTAGCCATATCTGCGGACACAACATATATAGCCCCGAAAAAAGCGAACAAAATACAACATTTATATTTAACAATCAATACATTTATGTATATATTTATAATGGCTTTATTGGCTAACATATAGGCCAACATTTACTGTCATTAATCAAACATTAAAACACAATTTTTACCTTAAGATGAGGACAGAAATAGCGACTAAAGTATACGCCAATAAAGTACCTGTAATTG